TGTAAATAATGTTTAGGAAACCACTTGCAGGTCTACCATCTCTTAGTTTTCTTTTTCTTTAACATACACATCTATTTACAAAGTAATCTGTATACTAGATGTTGTCACAAGCAATATCACAGTCAAACAATTGGTGTGCATTTTTTGCGGCGTGAGAGCGACTACTGAAAAGTAAAGCCTTGTTGCCTCGTGAAGTGACGTCAATATATGGCAATCAGTATATGGTTTGACCAGAATTCATTCTGGCGACGTTTTGTGGCTGTCATAAGGTTCGGGTTTCGATCGTAAGCGTATAGGCCTATATATATATATATATATATATATATATAACGTATGCATCGCGAGTTGGTCATTGTTTGTTGATTATTAAGGTGAGAAAGGTGTAGCCAATGTGCACCAATGAAAAATACAATGAAATTGATAGCAACCATACTTGTTCAGTTTTTGATCTTCATATGTTTCCATTTAGGCTACCATACCACAGAATTATATTTAATGATATTGATCTGTATAATGTTCAATAAATGTAGTAAGAAATAAATTTCATATGATACTTGGTTCTCTGAAACTTTTTGACAATCTCTCATTGTCAAAAGGTTTCAGAGAACCAAATATCATATGAAGTTTAATTCTTACTACATTACTACAATAAAATGGTGATCAAAAACAGAACAAGTCTGGTTACAATGCTCGCTACGAGATCATACTGTAGCTATAAACAGCGCAGCAATAAAGATGCGAGTCGTAATTAGTTACAATGCATGTTTAATATATCTATTGCCGTTTGGATTCCGGTTTAGAATAGGTCCCCAATAATCCATGTTTGTAGTAACAGCTGAGGGGTCACAAAATTAGGGTTGGTTGTGTGTCATTGTACTCGGACCGAGGTTGTGGGACGTGGCTCATAATATCAATCACTGGTTTGTCTGGCTAATATTCCATTCTTTTCAGACTGGAGTTTGATATGGAAACAAAATTACATTAGGTGTTTGTTTATTATGATACTCAATTATGAAATAATTTTGTTACTTATATCTGTAGCCTGAGATATTTCCGATCCGACATTATACATGTGAACATTAAATTTACAGTTTTTCCTAAATTTTAGACAAGTATACAATATATGTTATCTTTTTGGATAAACTATGACAATGTATAAATATATGCTTTCCAGGAGATAAAATCAGGAATGTTGGATCATTGAGGAATACACCAAATAAACCCTGGGTTGTTAAATTTCATGGTCTATATACGTTAGTGCTTTTGTAGCTTTAAATGAACGCTAAGAATGTATTTGTATGAATGTATTGTGTTCTATGCTCGTACCATGTTTTGTATTCAACATGATTCTTGATGTCTCTGAATGTTAAAAGATGTTTCCATCAAACACTTACATATTATACATTATTGTTGAAATATTGATCAAGCTTTATCTCCATTTGAATGTTTCTCGTCATACATATTTCAAATACCCGCTCGAGATTTATTAAATTGTTTGTATTTCAGGAAAGTGGATAAAGACATCACCAAAGAAAGAAGATTCTGGCAATCAATAATTTCAAAAAGTTTATAAATTTTCAATTATCTAAAAATATTAAAACATCCACACAAAAATGTCTTGAGGTTCATTGTTGAATGGTGACGTCGCATGGACATTTTCTATGGAGATTACATATTTTTTCGGTAGCAACTACAAAACCAGATATATGTTTTTATTTAACTCTGTGAGCCTGAAGATAAACACCTTGTAACTATACTAGCCACATAAAGAAACTGTGCACGGAGAAAATATATTCTGGATTGAAATACAACACAGCAAGAACAAAATGATGCAGACGCTGTAGCAGCTGAATGATCGGACCATAAGAAAATGTCAACGGGACCTGAACAACATCTGTTACGATGACGTCAGAAGATCAAAATGGAGTAGGGGGTCAAACGACAAAGTCACAAAGTCAATAACGGGTATGACCACCCTGTGCGTGAATCACAGAAGTGCATCGGCGACGCATGGAGTCCACCAAATGGGCATGGAAGGCCTGGGGAATGGCCTGCCATATCCTCCTCAAATCCTGTGCCAAGTCACGGACGTTATCTGGAGGATGTGGAAGACGACGCAGACGGCGCTCCATTTCATCCCACACATGCTCTATTGGGGAGAGATCTGGAGAAATTGCAGGCCATGGCAGTAACATGACATTGTTATGGTGAAGGAAATCCATTGTGACCCTAGCCGTGTGAGGACGAGCATTGTCCTGTAGAAATGTCAATCCCGGGCCATGATGTTGCAGGAAAGGAATGACCACAGGCCTCAGAATCTGATCTCTGTAGCCAACACTGGTGAGATTGCCCTAAACAACCACCAAAGGGGTTCGGTGCCGTGCTGTTATCCCACCCCAAATCATCACAGAGCCACCTCCAAAACGATTCCTCTCCACAATACAGTTGTGTGCATAACGTTCTCCCAAACGCCGGTAGACACGTTGGCGCCCGTCACTGTGGGAAATGTTGAACCTCGATTCATCTGTAAAGACAACATTTCTCCACCATAATCAAGGTTGGCGAACATGATTTCGACACCATCTTAGACGGTTGACTCGATGACGGTGTGTCAGGATGGGACGTATGGCAGGGCGTCGTGGTCGAATCCCGTACTGACATAAACGATTCCTGACAGTGTTGGGATGGATACGGCGCAGTCCAGGAATTTTCTGGGACGTCGTTACTGCCGTTTGGAACCTGTGTCGGAGATGTGTAACTCGAATCCATCTGTCCTGTCTTGGCGTCGTTACTCAGGGACGTCCTGAACATGGGTGGTCGGCAACGTCATTTGTGTTCTGATAACGCCTCACCAATGCCGATATCGTCTTACGATGGCATTGGAAATGTGTTGCCACCTGTTGTTGCCTCATTCCCACTCGGATCATTCAAATGGCTTCATGACGCTGTGCAGCTGTCAATCTTGGCATGATTTGCTTGTGATATGCTTGTGTCTGCGCCTGAGAAGTTTTGAATGACCACAGATCATGCTATCAAAGTGACAGCGAATTTTGAGTTGCACTTGCTGTGTACATTGGTGTACAGCTGCACAGGATGCACGTGCAGTAACACATTGCACGTCTATAGGCCCCCATCAATGACATCATATCGCATGGCACGTGCATGAGCGTTTGAATGTCTCCAATAATTGCTGTGTTCAAACCTATCTTTCATATATGGACGGTGTGCCCTTATATCTATATTTTCTCCGTGCAGTTTCTTTATGTGGCTAGTATAGATCTATGTCATTTTTGTGACAGGCAATTTTTTTTTTCACCAGTCTAAACTTTTTTTTGTCAAAACATTTCCGCTACAATTTATTTTATGATAAAATTCCAGGCCCCGACCCTCCCCAAAATATCAAATTGTCAAGCCCTTACCATATCTGCCATTCTTATTTTGTTTCCTTCAGTAGAAGCCTAAAGGATAATGGTGTCTGACTATTTGTTATAGTCATATGTATCTAGTCAACAGCTCAGTTGTGTTTTAACGTTATGAACACGACATAACTGTTATGTTAACTGGGCTATAAGTGGAAGTCCACAGAATATCGTTATATGGACGTAATATCCCTAACATTACCACAATGTTGCAACAATGTGAAATTGTTAGCTGGGTTATGTGTGATCATGAGTAAGGGATCGTGTGGTGTAAGTTATTGTGTATTCGTATCGGATCTCACAGTTGGTGTATCGTCCCAGCCCTAATTAAGACATCACCATAAATACTCATAGCATAGATGCATCAAACATTGAATTGTTACAATCTCAATGATGTAAGCATGACTAATGCGAAGCATCAATTCAGCAAACATTCTTTTGGTCAAGAATGCTTAGGTTATAACACAACTCATATATCATCTGATGATAGGTTTTTGGATGACATACGTTTTCGGACGACCATGTTTATCGCGATTACTCGCGCTATAACGGGTGATGTCCCATCACACAGACATTGAATATACTCAAATGATGGTTTGTTTTTAAGAGAAAATTGTCTTTTATAAGTGAATGAGATGTTTTACAGTTGTTTAAAGAGAAAACTACGAACGATTCTTAAGCGTCACAAAACCCATAACACGGATATATATATAAGAGGTCAGATCTACAGAAAAAGATATAGATCTATATATCCCATATAACATAAGGAAAACTTATTTGCTGGCAGTATGAGACCATTGTCTTGTGAAATAGGCCTATCTGAAAGTTATGTGAGCACTTCAGTAATCCCCCCTCTCTCCCACCCCCACCCCCCAAAAAAAGAACACCAACGAAACTAATTCAAGACCACAAGCAGTCATTCAACAGATAAACAGACAGACAGGGTCTGAAAATGTTTTGTTGAACCAATTCTGCTTCGTAGTTGCTGGTCAGAAAGATTTAAAATTCTGTTGCTTGGGCATGACTTGTGGACTATGTCGCCTTCGTTTCATAAAAAAAAAAGATTTCTGAAACAAATCTCCTACAAACAAACATAACAATGGTAAATAATCCAAGCAGACTGCATAGCAATAATCATAGCCCTAAATCTCAGAGAACTAACACTGAAAAGGAAAACATTGATGATGGAAAGCGATAACGCAGGTGCCCGTTTGGAGAATCAAATTCTTCCACGTATCTACAGTAATGATGACAATTAATCACATAAAATGAAATACATATAGACATGAATATTCAGCAAATCATATAATTCGTTTACGAATTTTGTAGAATTGAAAAACAGCAAGAAAAAAGTTAGATAGTAAACACTTGCTGTCTCCTCGTCCAATGTCAGAGTGACCTTGACCGCACTGCGGCGCTCAATGGGAGTCACATGACTATAATTTTTCTAATTTAGAAAGCTATTTTAATCTAAGATAAACTAGAGGCTATCTATTACCTAGGAAAGCCAAACCGTGTTGAAATTATAAAATTTATTGTCTTCGATAATAATTTAGTGTCAAAAATGTTGAATGTCCCGGATGTAATATGGCGTCAAATGGGTCGAATGCAGACGCGTAGGGTGCCCCAAAAACTCACGAAAACAGCGAGTTTACGTTTCTTTGCATTGCAAAACATTATTTTTTAAGTAGCATTAATGGTAATGCATGCAAGGAAACAACCAAGACTCAATGATGGGTAATGATCTTTCCCTTCAATGTCCACTTGTCAAAATCCCCAGGAGCAGTCCGCCATCTTTGTTGTCAAATTTTCTCAGGAAACCGTTAAAATTCCTCAGTTATCGGTTTATATGCAATTATTACAAGATAATAATGACGATTTTATTCTTTTGCAGGTTTGCTGACAGAAAGGACACCCATCTGCATCAGGTAAAGGTCGATAGATTCAAAGAAGCAAATAATGAATGGGAGGGGTCAGACAAAGCAATGTGTCAATAAAAATATGCCCATGTTTTGCAAATTATATAAACTTCAAAGTAGTTTTCACATTATAGATGATAATCAACCATTCCCAAAGATATATCAATCGTATTTTGTGCTCCAAGTCGTTTGAAAACTGACGAAAATGAATGACATATTTTGGGTTCAAATAAGTGAAGTGTGAACTCAATTAAGGTGTAAGATCTCCTAATTGACGTCCATATCCAAATAAATATGCAAACATATATTTATAGTGTTGGAGGTGATCACGTATTTGTTATTAAATGACCCAAAAATTGAAGTTTCTAGTATAGATGATAGTGACATGTCTAGATCAGCGCATGGGTAGTATAGTGCTGTTAGACTGCATGTACAGGAATGCACGTTAGAAGTTCTTGTATGACTAGAGCTAAACATCTGATCATTCTTATACTTCAGGTTCAGAAGAGCCATGTAGGTTTTAAGGGTCTACTAAAAAGATGATGGAAACTATTGGTTATGTTACTAGTAGACATGGTTTGAAGGATAATCAATATAACATAATTGTGAACTGCCAAAGAGGTTTGTTTTGAGGCTGTGCTGAGGTATATTCATGACTTTTTTTTAACTGATTTTGAACAACAATAACATCCAAAGTTCAGATCCTGAACTGTACAATGATCATGTTGATCATGCTCGCAGATATGGTAGTGGATCCCTCTTTCTTTACTGAGCCTGAAAGCCTTTGAAAATTGACCTGTTATTGGTGTCCAAAACTGCAACTTAGGCCCAGCTGAAATATGATAAGTGTCCAATATCATGGTTCAAATTCTAGGTCATTGACTGATTGATACATAATGTCCTACAAATGCTTTTCAAAATTTGTGATGAATGTTTTATCATGTTTATGAAAAATGATAAAATCAGGAAAATGTCATGTTGCCATTCTCTTTTCTCTGAGTTATATTCTTTGGCAAGATATCAGTGTTGCTGCTGAGAAAACCTTCTCAATACTATGTATGTAATACAGTCATCTTAAATGTTCCTGCTGTGGGGATTCAAGGGTAGGCTAGACTGCTTGTGTGAAGCCTGTTTATGGTGTCCCCTGACGCGATATTGCTGGAATATTGCTAAAAGCGTCATAAAACTATATTTGCTCACTACAAACTGCAGTAATCAAACTAGTCGTGCTAACTACGGTGTCATAACTGCCTACAGTGTCAAACAACACACCCTTTAGTAACTAAAATCTGAAAACTATACAACAGTTTTAAGTTTGCAAATTACTAAACATTATCTAAAAAGCTGTAACTCACAAATTGTGCGAAGTTTCTGTGGAGGACACTTTGGTTTGAATATTAATAATACTTCAGGAATTAAAGGAATTAATTTTCAAAGCACTCAGACCACTAGGTTCTTTAAAATTGCTCTTTAGTAACATTATGATCGAGTAATGAAAAGTCCTCAGTTGTTTATTTCTAACCAAGTTGGACTCCTGTTCTTTGTTTGAATGATCTATTTGAGTTTTCTTCATGTTCATAGATTTAGCAGTTCCCCTAGCATTAGTCGTTATCATTCTCTTCCATACATGTACCCAGATGTCATCTGGGTAGACTGACGTTTTTGTAGGTTAGCTGAATCACTGTTCCCACACCAGTGGTGATTCCAGACCACAGTATAGGTCCCCTGCAATGATTATGTGTGGATAAATGTGGACCCCTTATGGACCCCTACATCGTGATACATGTTATTGAATTCACGATAGTTGGTAGATCCAATGTTCATATCTTCCTACTCCATGTGCACAAGGGTATGGACACATTTCATTTTCCTTCTGTTTTTGGTTCCTGTAGTTAAACCATAGATAGGTGTATTACTTATTTCTACATTACCACTTAGGGATTCTAGGTCTGGTCTTAACGATATTGTGGCTCAGGTGAACATGATATGTGAACGGGTTGAAAGACGCATATCTCAACCATGTCAACACCTTGAATAGTTGCTCATGCTATCAGCCGCAGGCATCCTTGGCCCAGGCTTGATTTACTGATTGCTGTGAAACAACAGCAATATTATTATTCCTGGCTGCAGCATGAGTCCATTTTCATGGCCATACCATTTCTCATAGAACCAGTTGCAAGTTCACTAGTTTGTCACATGTTTCACCTTTGATAATGAAGTAGTTGTATGATATCAGCATGATCTGAGAAAATATGATCCACTCATCTGAAGCAATCTGTTATTGATGGAGTATATTTTGACAACTGCAGAATTCATACATTCTAATTCTTCGAGTGTGTGTTGTGCAGAGAAATGTATTTGTTGTATTCATAAGTGTCATCAAAAGGACAGCTAAAGTCAAATAGCTTGTTTTAATCTGAATGGTAATGTGTAGTCTATCACAGAGAGCATATTATATGCTAATGTCCTGCAAGTAGGTGTTCCCATTAAGGAATTTTATTTGGGGCTTTCTGTTTTTTGGACAGAATAGCACAAACATTATGCAGGTCTTGCTTTTCAAATGGAAAGGGTTACTGTCGCAATCGCAAAAATTAAAAACGCAAAAATAAGTATAAATAATACATACATACTTTATTCATTGCAACCTGTCATCATATGTTGAAATCATCAACCAGAACCACAAGTTACTCAATAAGTTAAAAACATAAATGAATGCAGAATGGTCACACAATACATCACAAATGACAGTGTAAACAGACCAATTAGTGTCACTGTTACCTCACAGTAATCCTGCCTTCTTCCAACCTCGCTTGATTGCGTCAGTGTCTTTTACGGGACTGAGTTGAGTCAATTATCGTATTTGATAATTCCGGTCAACTTTCCGGCCAACTCAGGTTAACTAGCTTCGGAGAGAAGCTGTCTGTTGTTTGGTAATTGAGGGGTCATCTCAACACGGCAACTCGCAAAAATATCTCGTCGCAGTATTGTCTTTGCTGTGGTATTCGCAATATTTTAACAGCGCAGAAATAAAGCTGTTTACAGTATTCATGTTGACTGTTGTGAAAAGCCTAGCAGACTATCGCTGTTTGTTATAGTAGTTGGGTAATATAGACATGGGACACCTAAATTGAAAATGGCACCCCTAAAAACAGGTCCAGTGCCATTGGGTACTTCTGAGTTGTTTCTATTTTCAAGCACTGGTTTCCATGTTCTTGAAAAATATTTGTCCCATGGCCATCAAAATATTGTGATGGACTTATTGCAATTTATGATGGTACTTGGCCTCTTGGCTTCACTTGTTATAGATCATAGAGATTGATAATAATCACTAACTAAATATTGATCAATAAATGTCGGAGAAGTAACTTTAAGCAAATATGCAAGAAAATCCTGAAATATGTCAACATTTTTCAAAACACTGGTGAGCAGTGATATATTTGTGCATGGATTACTTTGTGAACATTTGGATTATGACAAAAACAGTTGCTTTTCGACTTTGGCAATTGGCATGACTGACAATAACAAGTCTGTTTCAGTAAAATCTAAAATCTATTTCATCACAATAGTTTATGTAAGTTAATATAATGTTAATATTTCTTCTTGTCGCCGTTAATTCCAATTGTCGATCCTTTTAGCCAGCCCTACCTGTTGTCATCCACAATCTTCATAATACACGCTGCTTCGGGCATGTTTAGATGAAGTTCAGAAAAGGTAACAGATGGCGAGTTGACAGGCATTGCAGGGAAGATATGACAGTGATTTTTCAAGATATAAGACCTTCAGACATTCGAGAAAATGTTTGAGTTAAAATTTTTATGGCACATTGCTCTGTATCACTTGCTGTGAAGAGCTGCAAGATTGCTGATGCAGCGTTAGGCAATAACTCCTCCCTCACTCCTTGATTATGACAGCCGATTTTGAAAAGAATCCTTCAGACAAAATTTAGTGTCCTAGAATATGAACTAATCTGAAACCCTGGATTATAAAAACTACTGTGAAATTAATTCAGTGAAAACCCCTGAACATGCAGAATTGGATATGATGTACTGTAAGCGGTTCTAAGCTTGGTAAAGTCTAGGGTTATCATGATACTCCTCCCTCTCATATTGATAAAATAATGAGGTATCTCAGTCATGATACTATATGTACAGCAATAACTACTTTCTGCTGTTTTTATATCCCCGAATAGCTGCAAGATTGCTGATGTGGCGTTGAGCAAAAATTACTCACACATACTGCTGTTTGTGTGACATTCCATGTTTCATGTTACTAATCAAGAGCTTAGTTGTTGCTTTCAACCAGTTTGTGCTGAACTTGCACGACTGTTTACCATTATCAGATATTTGTGATAGTATTATCATGATTATGCTCTTTTTATGGAAAGGTGATAATCCTTAGTCTCAGTAATCAGGCTGGGTAATTACAGAAGTTAGGACACAAGACTTTTTGAAAATCAATACAATAAAATCACAAATTGACACTTGGGCAGTCATTTCCTCACATGCACCATATTGTCATGTTTAAATTCCCAGTGCATTGTGATGGCTGCATCACCTTCCTGTTTCAATGAGTGATAATTTATTTCCAACTTCCCTGTGTCATTATCAGTGTGAGGTATCAGTATAAATTTTCAGCAAATACACTGCTTTACATTATAATGGTACATTAATGTCTTGTCTTCAGCAACCCATGTTTGTCGTAAAAGGCGACTATGCTTGTCGTAAAAGGCGAATAACGGGATCGGGTGGTCAGGCTCGCTGACTTGGTTCATGCATGTCATCGATCCCAATTGCGTGGATCGATGTTCATGTATCAATCACTGGATTGGCTGGTCCAGACTCAATTATTTGCAGACCGCTGTCATATAGCTGGAATATTGCTGAGTGCGGCGTAAAACAACAAACCAACCAACTTGTTGAAATCAGAATGCATTGCAAAATGAGCCTAAATTTAAGAATTTATAAAAGAATTCCCAATTTAAGACAATATGCTAGTTACTCAACAATTCTTACCACAAGCACTTAGTTTGAAAGCGTAGTAGTTCCGTGATATTGATACAGTATGGATGTGGATACAGCAATGCAGATTTTAATTATTAAGCATGTTGATTGCTGCGGAGACACCTTATTCTGGTTAAGTCAGCACTTTTGCTCAACCAAAAGCTTCAATAAGAAAATCAAATAATATTAGTTTGAATATGTTTTTATATGCCCAACTGCAATCTTTCATTGTTGTTTAAAGTTTGTTTAACATGCTAAGCCACTCAAACCAAAGAACATTAGTATGAAATGTAAGCTATTGAGCTACTGTAGATCAGTTTAGTTATTTTGATCTCCCAAAGCTAATTTGTCAGAAAAACAATCTTTCAACCATAAAACAAACATTGTGATCTTATACTTCCTTCATTGTTCATGCTAATGGCCTGGTTACTCTTCCCAGAAGGACAGTATGTTTTGCCTGTTTGTGGCTTTCACCATTTTGGTAAACAACCTGTATCAATTTGGGCTTTCTTCCACATCGGAAGTTCTGTTCCAAATGGAGTTAAGCTAAACTCACCACACTCACTCTTTCCAGAACATGCAGTACCAGTCCAAAGGTCTTGGGGGATTGTTCAGCGACAGGTATGAGCGAAGTGGACGGGACTCTCATGATGACCGAGCCAGAGAAGATGTCCCTGGCAGCCATCCGAGTCCCCGATATCAGAACAAGTCTTCTTATATTGAGAGGAATAAAGAGAAAAGAGGTAGGCCTGCAAGCTATCATGTTTATCAAATGTTATTCTTTTCAACTGTGAATGCCAAAATGTTTGGAGGAACATTCATCTAGCTTGATAATGGTGTTTCATTCTGCTGTTATGTTTGAATGTTTTGTAGTGAGAGCTGTGTGACAGATTGCGATCCAGTACACTTTTGTTGAAATTATTACACCTTTTAGCTTAAAGGTACGTCATTGACATTTTCTTCACGAAAACATTATTTTCATGTGGAAAATATCAGAAGGCAAATTGTTAGTGCAGCCGTGACGTGAAGCATTCTTCACGGGACTAATTGCATGTACACAAATATTTCTTTGGAACTTGTAAACAATCACCACATTGTCTTTCCACATTGTGATAAAAGTTAATAAGGTATTGTTACATGATGAATTTTATGGATGTGTGGAGCTTTCACCACGTTTCGGAAAGAATGCAGTGTTACTGATGCCATTTTTTTTTTTTTATGTTTATGGATTGCTTTGAATCTTTGATATTTAATTTCGAGAAAAAATCACAATAAATCGTTCAAATGCAAGCAGAGTAATTTTTTCTGCTAAATTTGAGCATTATCCCCATTTTTCAAAATAGTGCTGCCCTCGTGTGCACTTACATTACTAGCATCAGTGCATGTGTACCCATGTTTCATGTATGTCTTGGCCTAATGAAAATGTCTAAGGGTAAAAACCTGCATAGCATGATACACTTAACATTACTCTTTTTCACATGAAATTACACTTTTTTACCCCACTGATTACACCAAAGCTTCAATTAGGGTTGGCATCTCTGTTATTATTATATAAGCTGGTCTTAAGTATTAAATCCAACAATCAGGTGATCATACTTGGTCACTTGGTTGATTGCATGTCAACGTACCCCTATGGTGTGGATCATTGCTTATTATGAATCACAGGTTTGTCTTGTCTTGACTATATTATTTACAAGCTGCCAGCACCACAATACAAAACAACACAACACCCATAACATTTCAAAATGACACTGGACTAGGTAGGGTCAGACTGCCGTCACTGGTCAGCTAGTCTCGAGACTAGTTCAAATCAGGACAAATTCTTTTTTATATAAACCTCTCCAAATTAAGCTGGGGACGAGCTGTAATCACCTTGCAGTTACAAGCATCTTGTACCAAACAAAAAAAATTCAATATATTTCAGTGTTGCTTTTGCAATATATGATTCTAAAACACTGGTTACTGAGTTGATGAAGAGATTGATGGTTATTGAGTTGGTGTAGAGATTGGTGGTTATTAAGTTGATGGGAGAGATTGGTTACTGAGTTGATGAAGATATTCATGGTTATTGAGTTGGTGAAGAGATTGATGGTTAATAAGTTGGTGAAGAGATCAATGGTTACTGAGTTGAAGAGATTATTTGAAAAGTTTTCAATTTTTTTATTTGTTCTCCTCAATGTCAGGTGGACCCAGTGGTCAGTGGGAGAAGAGCAACCACCAAATGTCATCGTCCACAAGCACCAGTAGCAGCCGAGGAGGGGGAGGGGGGAATGGACAAGGCTACAGTGGAGCAGGGAGCAGCAGTCAAAACAATCATGACAGACCCTTCAAGAATGTCTCCAAGGATCAGAAGGACACCAAGGACAGAGCGGAGGTCAGTTCATGCCAAACTTTCCCAGCAAAAGCTGAATGGATAATGCTGATTATGAGTTACGGGTGTTATGGGTTAGCTCTTTCATAAGTAGTTTGAAATATTTTGCGGTCAGAAATGCATGATGTCAGAAATGCATGATGTGTTATCTCCTTGTAGGTTCAGAAGTCGGCAGTACGAGTGTTTGGAGACTGGTCTGAACACATCAGTTCCTCCAAGAAACGATACTACTACAACTGTAGAACTGAAGTCTCTCAGTGGGAAAAACCAAAGGAATGGATTGATAGGTAAGATGCCCTCTTATTCGGTGAGAGCAGGGCAGTATTCCACAAGCTAACATGACTTGATTCAATTCCTACTGTTAATCAAACCACAAGAAATATAGGTGTTTGAAACTTAAGAAAAGCCTGAAAGGTTACATGTACAAGAATTGAGTTTTGTGTGTTTCTTGACAGAGGTAAACATGGTGTGATCACTGCCATCAGTTTGATGATGGAGAGATCTTCTTTTCAAGTGGAAATGGTCATGTCTTTATTTCAAGATGGAAAATGAGTTTTTTGCTGATGCATGTCATTGTTCTGGTGCCAGTACATAGCAATTGATTTTGTTACCTGTCGTACTGGAAATGATTCATAAATACTTACTCCTTGTATTTATTGTCTAAAGTACATGACAGACCAAAAACCTGTCCTTCAGTAAAGTTATTATCATCTACTTTTGATATAATATTCCATTGGCATTTTCCCTTTATTTTGTTAACTGATTTGTTGACACAATTAAAAATTGTGCTTCAGATATTTCCTGGTAGCAAAATACAAAGTGATAAGATCTAGTTCCATACAGGAGACAGACTTTTATGACAGTTACAGCTGTTTAATTGTCCCCCGCCGCGCGAAAGCGCGAAGCGGGGGATATAGTATTCACGACCGTCCGTACGTCCGTCCGTACGTCCCACCTGTTTGTTGCCGCGATATATCAAGAACTAAACACTGGATTGTCTTCATATTTGGAACTATGGTGTATATACAGACTCCGCAGACACCAGTCGGTTTTGGTGACCTTGAGCCCATTTTCAAGGTCACAGCAGGTAAATCTGCTTTTGGAGTTGGAAAACGGTGTTGCCGCGATATCTCAAGAACTAATCGCAGGATTGTCTTCATGTTTGGAACTATGGTGTATATACAGACACCGCAGACACCAGTCGGTTTTGGTGACCTTGACCCCATTTTCAAGGTCACAGCAGGCAAATCTGCTTTTGGAGTTGGAAAACGGTGTTGCCGCGATATCTCAAGAAGTAATCGCAGGATTGTCTTAATATTTGGAACTATGGTGTATATACAGACACCGCAGACACCAGTCGGTTTTGGTGACCTTGACCCTATTTTCAAGGTCACAGCAGGCAAATCTGCTTTTGGAGTTGGAAAACGGTGTTGCCGCGATATCTCAAGAACTAATCGCTGGATTGTCTTCATATTTGGTATTTTGGTGTATATACAGGCGGGGGACATTTCGTCACTTCTGTGACAAATACTTGTTAGATCTGTATTCACAGTCATTCTGTTTTCAGCCCTCGAACCCCAGACAACAGCAGATCAAAGGATGGACGGATTCCTGGCAAGCCGTATACATCCTCTTCTACAACCTCCTCAAGTAGAGGTAAGTGTTTGCATTACTCTTTTACATGCAAATATATGAAAAATAAGTGGACAACAAATATGTCATTGTGGGGATGCATTGTTTCATTGGTCACCTTTCAGGATTTCTTACCATTTGGATTTTGTTCTGCAAAAAAATCAATTATACTTACAATTATACTGCTAATAATAATGATAAATTTATTACACCTGATTTTTTTCATATGACTACAGTTAATGTCACATGAAAAAGTGGGATGTTCTTTTACTTATTTTGAGTGGTATATATGGGCTCTTTTGATGTTGGCTGTGATTAGAATGTGGTTTACATTCAATGACTTCATTGATTAAAAGGTGTTAAGACTGGCAGGCAATACAACCTTTCAACACTGACAGTTATCAAAGTTCAGTTCATAGTCAATCTGGAAGTTTTGGGAATCAACCTCCATTATGGTTTTATTGATAATCGATGCAGATCAACTTGTCACGTTTTGACAATGAATGTTGACAAGGTCTCAGAAGTTCATGATCATCTTGTAGATTTTTGTGTTTTCATTTCAGGTGAGCATGAATTGCTTAAGCACACTGTATGTTAAACTTGTGTTTCATCATAACAGCAAATGCTGTTAGTTTACCAGCCAATCATTTATAAACAAACATACTTTTAATCAAAATGTGTGTTAAAACCAAATATTTGTTATATGACTATGATTTGGTTTTTCAAGTCATAATCCACAACATGTGTTAGTAGGGACATTTTCAAAATCTGACTTCCTCTCTCTGACCTGCAAGCGACCTCTTACAACTAAACCTTGAAACCCACTGAACTGGGTTTGTTTCTTGTTTACAGGCTTCACACAGCTAGCCATCAGGGGTTTGCAATCATATGTATATATTATGAGACATATATTCTGTCAAAGTATGTAAGCCAGTATTTAATATAGATTTTTAAGGTTAGGGTGACAAATAATTGAATTTAGTCATCCAAGCGAATCGTAACCAGTGATTATTGTTTCCTGCACCACTAGAATTTGGTTTTCTAACACTGTTGCTTTTCCATTTCAGCCAATGACGGGGCAAAACATTCCTCAAGTGGGGAACGTGAGAGACCAGACAAATACCCCCGAAGTAATTCAGACTCTTCTGTCAAACACTCTGAAAAGTTCTCCCCAACAGACAGACCCAAAATTGTGTACTCTAAAGACGTGTCGAACACAGCTTCCCTTAGGACTAGTAACTTATTACAGAGGGCAAACTCCACCTCTGATAGCTCAGCATACAAGGAGGGCTATACGGATCATAGAAAAAACAATTATCCTTACTCTTCTGTGGACCCTATGCGTCGGCGTCAGAGACATGAGAGTGAGAGTAGTCGGTCCTCAATAGGACACACAACACCACAGAAAAATGATGGTGAGTACAATTTTTTCTTCCTATATCTGCTGGTTGTCCAGTGTATCTATATTTGCCCTAAACATCTCAATTTATGTTTTTGGTACTATCATATGAAATCTTCCTGTATTTCCGAAATTATTGTTCAAACGTTGAGTGAGGAATGTGGATGGTTTTACGACGAATACGAATACGTAACATGAAATCCTAATTAGCATTTTGATGGCCTTTCATTCCCAGGGAGCTTGCCCCTCTTACCATATGATAATCACTTTTGAGTCTGACACATAAATGCTCTCTTAACTTAGTGTTGGTGAATGGGTTATTTGTTGCATTCTGATTAAAGGAGTATCAGTGTTTCTTGTCTTTTTGAGACTTATTTAAGTAGTTTGTACCTCGTTGTTTGTTCCCAAGGCTGATTCCACAAGTTTATTCGACATGTTAAATTTGCTTTGTTCTTGCTTGATGAATTTCAATTGACTTATAATATTTTAAGCCCATCTGTGTGCATTTATGAGTATAAGGTACCACCTTAACTTGATATTTGATAATATTTCATTATCTTACCATACTCTGTCTAAGAAGAGACGGCAGAGCAGTAGCTAAATAGATATGACATTCTATGACTCAAGATACCCTACCAGTTTTACATTTGGTAAATATTAAATGTTGAATTTCAGTCTGTTTCAAAAATTATCCTGAACTGATCCTTTGGTATGATTTTTCAGCATGTTTTAGTGTTATTGCTTCTTGACAAGATATAAAGACATTATACTTGACTCCAGGCTTTGGAATAGTGCCCGAAGTCAAACTGTTATTTACATCAAACAGGAACAAGTCTTGAAACAGTAAATGATATCTGTGACAGCTCTGATTGTTCGATGTGTGAAGTTTTATTCATTCTGTGCCCAAACCTTTTGAGTCTGCTCACCCCAAAATGTATTTTGGCAATTACTTTCAGTGTATTTTAGTCTTTGTTTATGGATTTGTATTGTGTGATCAGACTGGACCAGAAGAATTTTTACTAGACTCTGGCTTTGGATGAGTGGCTGAAGATGCCGACTGTTTCTGTGGAATAACTTCAGTTACGTGAAGCAGCAAACTATGAGCACCTTTACAGGGTGCAAATAGTGATACTTTTTTAACATTGCATTACATATGACGAAGGCACACTTCATGCCACAGATTGTAATAATATTGTTTAACTTGTAATGACAGGTATGATGTATCAAAAGCATCTGTCATTCAGTTACAGCACATGTCAGTTCACGAATGTGTCTGAGATTCCAAACTAAGTGCCATTGGCTGGCATTTTTGGGGAAAATGTTTTTTAATTAGGATTTTGAAAAAGTTCTTAATTTCAGAGATAATTTTACTTTGAATTCATGCCAAAATGTAAGAGACCCTTCCTCTTTATTGATCCTGTTGTCTGTGATACACAAGTCAACTCAGCAAAGCCATCACATTAGTTAATGTATTAACATGAATTAGTAATCTTTTATATTCACATTTAGGACGTTTTACTGACATACTGCACACTTCATGCACTTAGGGACAAATATCGGCCTCTAATAACCATTAAGTTATTGATGTTAACTTGTGGTCTGATGACAAGTGATAATTAGCAGTCTTAACATTAACAGGAAGACAATGGATTAATAAGCCAGTGTTTTTCCTTGTTGCAAGTGAAACTCGGTGTGCACAGGAAGCCTAATACTATATTCATTGTTCAAAATTAATGAAGGTAGGTTTGTTTGTTTGTTGTTCAATGCCGCACCCAGCAATATTCCGGCTATATGACGGCAATTAATGGAGGTGATGAACTGCTGCTGTGGTGTTTGAATCTAGAGACCCCCTAATTCTTTAATAGTGAACTTTTGGGTTATGCCAAGGATCCCTTGAGTGGAACTTGATACTTGATTTCAAACACTGGTGATGTTTATGTTTTTAACAGTGAATTATCTCAAGAAAGATTTTAATGATTCAGGGATAGAAACTAACATATTTAGTCCACTAGTCCTTATAATGATAACATATAGGAAAATCCTTAAAAATGGCAATTTTCTACTAGTCCTTATGATACTTTAACTATTGGGCAGTTTGGCAAGGACTTCAGGACTAGTGCCAAATTCTAACGCTGTGATTGTGTTTTTATTTGGTGGCAAGTAGTTTGTGTGATGTAGTATTGGAAGCTATTTGTCGATCCAAGTGTATATGGTTAAAATGATGCTTACTTAATTTCCAAAGTAGATTATATTGTCAAGGAAGAATGTTGTTTCGAGGGTTTGGGTGTTGAAATGTGTATTAAGTCAACATTATGTATGATCCTGCATTGATTTGGCTCAAGATTAATGGCATTAAGACAATTACACAATTTTTATAAACATTTGATTGGACATTCTTCTATCAGAGTATATCTTCACCATAATATCTTGTTTGAATAAAATCTTTAGGATATTTGGAATGTAATCATTATCCTAGAAAATGAAGTGATCTGAAGCTCTACCCTGCTCTACTGTTGCCAGGTTTTCTGCTGTAAATCTACAGTTAGTCATGTGAACTTCAGAAACACCAAAATCATTTATGACTTTTACGAAAAGTAAAACATGAAATTATTTCAGAGCTTTGATGTTTTGTGGGTTTTTTTCAATTCTGAAGAAAGCATATCAACAGATGAGTCAATGAAACGGTATTATTATCTGGAAGATAATGTAGTCTTATCTGTTAAAGATGGCCTTAATCAGTGACACATTAGGCCTTCTTCACACATTAAGCTGACACTATGTGACATCTAACATACAGTTGAAAGCAGGGTTAGAAACTAACAGTTTTCGTCCACTAGTCCTTATAATGATAACATGTAGCAAAACCTTTAAAAAAGGCAAATTTCTACTAGTCCTTATGATACCGTATATCGCTGTGTATAAGGCGAGTTTTTCGTACCTAAAATGAGGTGGTTAAGAAGGGGGGGTCGTCTTATACACGGAGTCGAAGATCTCACATTTTTTTCCACTGGCGATGTCAACCGGCGTCCGATAGCCAGGCCAGCATTTGACAATAAAACTTCGCATTTCGTCCTAAATAACTGTTCCAATAACTATTTACATACATAAACATGATTTGTATCTCTTTTCCTTGAATAAAGTTTAATAATTTCTGCAAATAAAGTTGAAATGACCCTCGCCTCGATGCAGATTGTCAAACCAGCTGACACAGTAAAACAATCAACATCCGTGAGTTGAGAGCCGGAAGTACCGGTAAGCATTCGCATATTGCACATGTGACCTAACATGTGATAACCGGTGAAGCTGAAATCAATTCCCGCTGTTTTTACAGTTGTATTAACAACTGTTGGAGACGCTGTGTATAAGTGATTGTGGAATAAACACGCTGAATGTGAAGCAAACATGAGCCTAGATAGTTACAACATAGTTAATTGGCGATTAAATTACTCACTATTGTCTCTTATATGTTATTACTTCATAAATGAATTTTATTTTACGGCCACCAATTTGGTGTCATACCGTGTAAACACAAAATGGCAACATGTGCTGGAGTTACACGCGCGACCAATCATCGTTGAAAAAACAACACAAGATAAACATATTTTTATTGCATATATAAGGTTTGTGTGCGCACTTGTGATGTGCTTCATTCCAGGTCGCCTTATATACGGAGTATAGGATTTTGGGTTGATTTTGAAGGCGTGTGCAGGGGGGTCGTCTTATACGTGGGGTTCTTTATACACAGCGATATACGGTACCTTTACCATTGGGCAGTTTGGCAAGGACTATAGGACTAGTGCCAATTTCTTACGCTGGAAAGTGGTGCTGAACATACTTGTTTCACTCTGTGCTATTTGCATCTTCATTTTTGGAAGTGGTAATTTGCCAACTAGCTTAGACTTCATGGACCAGGACCTCCTTTTTTCAAACACTGTATGAACTATCTGATAGTAGCCTGTGCTAAAAACATTTGAGACTGCAAGTCGAACATGGCTCTTAGCATCACTTGCTGTAGAATTTAGTGTTATGTGGACTATTTCTAGCTGAGCTTACTAGCCTGAACAAATTTGTACTGGACTCAGACTGATAACATGTATTGACAACATTTCTCAACATTTTGATTAGTAATAACATACAGTATCAACCCCTCAGATGATGGCCCTTAGATACCTTTAACATTAGTGAAAATGGCATGGGCTAGTGCTAATGATGCTCATGATTTCCAAGAATGTCTAATCATTGCACATTCTCAGAAGCCTGCAGCATGTTTAGCCAATTTTTGATTAGGATTGCAATTATGGAAGAAAATCAACCATTGACACTGTGGAATTTCAGTGTTTTATATAACATGGAATTTTGTTTTGATTAGTTCTATTTAATTCACACTGTTGAACCTTTTTGCATTTCCAAGAGTTCGCAATGTATAGTATTTGTGTCCATTCATAATTTGTATGTGTGGACAAAAAGATTTGCATCCAAAAAACTGTATAATCGTGATAATTACTTATTCAAATTAATTCGATGAGATATTGAAGCATACTTTCTGACATGTATCCACTGTAGATCACTGGTTTATTTTAAACCTAATTCAATGAGGACAAGTATTACCAGTATTTGGATATTGAATATTTGTGATGATTTAGTCTCTTTTCTTTTTATCCCCCGCCCCAACGAAGTTGGCGGGGGATATAGAAATGGGTTCCGTGCGTGCGTGCGTCCGTCCGTCCGTCCGTCCGTCCGTCCGTCCGTCCTGAAATCGTTTCCGGAGCATAACTCAGAAACCGTTAAATATTTCTCTATGAAACTTTGTATGTCTATCAGACTCATGCTGAACTGGTGCCTTTTGCTATTTAGGAATTTTATAAAAAAAAAATATTTTTTACGTTTCCATGGCAACAAGTTGGACTTAGGTTCTATAAGGGTGGTGTTCGTTTCCAGAGCGTAACTCAAAAACCATTAAATACTTTCTTACAAAACTTTCCATGTCTACTAGGCACATACTGAACTGGTGCCTTT